TCATCGGCTAGATTTTTCTAAACATCTGAGCCAAGAGAAGGTGCAGAAAGTCTAGTTTCCTCTTAGACCACCTAAATTGTAATATGTTGGAACACAAAGTGTTCACCGCTGGGAAGCAACAAGGGTTTAGCAGCTGTTTGTAAAAGTATTTTAAAGCCATTTTTCAGACATTGGATATATAATATTGCTCACTTCATCAATCTGTTAAAATGACACCATGTTATCATTCAGACTCAGGTGAATTTTACATTCATGTTCCTCACAGCTTCATCCAGACACCACAGGCATTCACATGGGATTGAACAGTACATTAAGTGACTTATAACCCATAATAATGCAATAAGAATCATAAAACTAAATCTAACCTGACAGCAGGCTATCAAACTGTACAAAAAAGCAATAGCCAAGTTTATTTATGTTTTCGTACACAGTGAAACTTGGCCCATGTGTGATGATAATCTGCTACTTTACTGCAGGTGTGTAATAAGCTTTAATAAGACACCTAGAAACAGCGGGAAGCAACAAACTAAATTTCAGCTCCACTAAACGCTTTATCTAAAACTGGATTAGATTTATTATCGGTGATGCTCATTAATCTGACCTGATACAGACTGTGTCTAAAGTTTTACTTTTATGGACATTTCCAATTGTAGTCGATATAAAACTGTAGGACAAAGTGAACAAGAAAGGTGGTTTAGGATTTTGGCCTCAAGCTGTAACTTTTGTACTCTTTGATGTTTTTGAATCAGTGTTGGTGCTGAAATGTCGAAAAATATTCATCAAATCGCTTCACACAGCTTGTGCGACTGCTTGCTGTTCAGGCTTGTGTTGAAAATAATCAGAAATGTTACTAACGTCCCCTGGCTGGGTGCTAATCTGACGTCACGGTTGCCTTAACTTCAAAACCAAAAGCTTTGGAAAGACACGTTGGATGATGACTGAAATGTTTGTGTGTCCACATACTTTTGGACTGTATCTTAATTTATTACCACTATAATGTAGAGTACAAAGTGCCACCGTAGAGCACAAAATTAGGGCACGAAACAGCAAAAAAAAAAAACTTTAAAAAGCGATGTGGATGCATGCTGTTGAACTCTTCTCCTACTACGCTGACAGTACTGTCTTTCTATTGGCAGGAGCTGGCAGCCAGAGTGAACCAATCAGCTCTTGAAGCTGTGACGCCATCACCGTCCTTCCAGCAGAGACATGAGAGCATGAGACCAAGCAGGTAGGACTGGGATGGTGGGATGGGTGGGGATATGCTTTTTATCAGAAGATATTTTGAAACACAGTCGTTCATCATGCTCCAGCTGTGAGTCACTAATATTTCCTCCTGGAAAATAATCGGTACCTCCAGCACAAGTTTTTATTACGGGGGTACTTCAAAAAAGTTTTCTCCCTCACCCAGAAACAAAGGAGCATAACTCCTGTTTCGGGTTATAACTTTATACTATAAAGTCTTATATCACTGTGTACAAAAACTCAAACATTTAAGGCAATAAAGGAAAAAAGCAGGAAAACCTCTAAGCTGGCTGCTGCAGGACACAGAGCTCATCACATGGCACGGGTGGCACAAGCAGCCAAATGTGGCTTTAAACTGAACCGTTGCTTCGTGAACTTCACTCACCCGACCTGCACCGTCTCACTTTCCACTTGGCATGGTCGCCATTTTGAGAGTGATGATGAAGTCATCCACGCTGTTGAGGCGAATCTTGAGGCTCAAGATGTGACCTTCTTCTGGAAGGGAAAGAAGCTTGAACATAAGTGGACCGAATGCATTACAGCTAAATAAGGCTACGTTAAAAAATAATGCAAGAACAATCTTTCTCCTGTGATGTTTTCTGGTGAGACCGAAAACTTTTTAGAGTACCTTCGCATACATGAAAAGTCAATTAAAGTCAGTTTATTTAATAGCACATTTAAATACAACAAAAATTACCAAAGTGGTACACAACATCAGATAAATACAACCATTAACACAAATAAGTCAATAAAAAAAACAGAAAACAACAAACCCCTCACAACCAAAGAGATCCTAATCATAATAAATAATAATAATAATAATAATAATAATACAGAAGGTGTGCACACAGAAAAATTACAATTGGATCTAAACCAGAAAAAGTCAGAAAATAAAAATAAGTTTCTAATTGGGATTATAGCCTTAAGCACCAATCTGCATGTTATAAACAAGCAATAAACTTTTTATAGGCAACTCTCTGAACCCCCAAATTTGCTGGTAGATTTGAAAGACATGTTGTGTTTAAGAAACCCACCAAAATTCAAGCATTTGTCAGAGTTGGAAACTGTAAAATCAGGGAATACCCTTGGATTTGGGACTTTTTGACAGGCTTTGAGCTACTCATCTGTAGTATAGTTTAGTGATAAGCCATTAAAAATCGCTTTATTTTGCATTCAAAAATGAGCCAGATTCTGTCAGAATTCAGTGCAGCTGAGAAGCCATTAGTTACTCAATAGCGATCAACAGTCACGTGACAAAAACTCAGGGGCTTGTTGGCTGAACTGCAGCACTGAGAACAAATTAAAAATGTAAACAATAACAGCTGTGAGCACACATGTTGTACATTTTTATTTTCAGGCTTTTAAAATGTTTGTTAAGTAAATAATCTTAGAAATTAAACATTTCATTTCACTCTTACACCCAGAACCTGCTTGAGGTTTAAAGGGTTAATCCTGTCCTGAATAGCTAGTCGCTGTAAGGATGCCTGGTGAAATGAAATCTACTCCTGCTTATGTGAATCAGTCATGAGCCGAACTGCTGCATTGTGATACCAACTGCAACCTCGCCAAGAAAATACTTCATACATAAAAACTGTCATTGGCCAGTCAGATTTCAGTGCAGATGTCCATCACCACCTCTCTCCACCTTGGTTCCAGTAAAGGGCGTGCGGGCCGAGCGAGCAGTATCAGCTCTGTGGGGTCCGAGCCGTCACCCGCTCTCTCTGTGCTTTCACTGGACGCGCTGGTCGCCCCGGAAACACCCATCCAGTTTGACATCATTTCCCCCGTCAGCGAGGAGAACTCTGGGCAGAGCAAGACAGCTGCACAGTCCGGCAGGTAGGCCTGTGTTTGTGCATAAGGGACGTTTGAGTCAGGTTTCCAAGAGTTGATTTAAAGGGCTTATTTTGAATAGAATCAATATTGTGGTATTTACCTTTGGTGTGAAGCCCGAGTATAACACACAGAGCGACACAGCTGCTTGTAACCAGCGGGGAGAAGTACAAGATGAATTATGAGCCGTTTGTTTTGTTCCTGTAAAATGTCTTCAGTCATTTTAAAGGCTTTTTATTTTCAAGGCCTTATTTCAAGTTCAACTTGATCACAGATGAGTAAGCAAGTCAAACAAAACACATTGAACACATTGAACACATTTATACCATCGTTACATGTGGAACTTGCCACTGCTTGGCTGGTTCACCCAAATCATGGGAAAAAACCCACTACAGGTAAGTTTTTACAGTGAACATTTTTTCACTGTAAGATCAGAAACTGTTGTGGGAACAAGAAGTTACTGATGATAATCCTGATGGATCAGTAAATGTATCAGTTCATAAAGTATTTGGAAAAAGTGAAATTATAGCCAGTATGTAAGTAAGTTTGTATCCTGTCTGGTGATGTTGAAGCTGCTGGTGGACGTACTTTAGATCTGCGCTGTGGAGCCTTGAGTCCCTGTAAAGCAGAGTTTGACATTAGGGTGATGTCTCTGATAAAGACCTCTAAAGTGACTGAAACTGGACTCCATATGTGTCCACAGAAGGAGTAATCCATTTGGAGAGTCGGGAGACAGCACGTCAGAGGACAGTGAAGGTACTGTTTGTTTGTTTGTTTATCTGAATTATCTATTTATAAAATTAAAAACAATTGTTCATGTTTTCTGTTGCATCCAGTTAGAACTTTTCTTGGAGTTTTAAATGACCAAATAAAAGTCTTTTGTGCCAGACTATCGTTGGCTCTCTGCCGCCCTCGTGTGGCTGAAGGGCAGAAAGCACCTGCTGCAAGCCGTGTAGTTCACTGTAGTTTGTAAGAATACATACTAACAATAAAAACTGTAATAATAATTAATATATTTGCCTATTTCAGCCAAATGACAATCACACAGGAGTACTGTAATTGAAATCGTGTTTTTAATTCTCCCTGGTTACCTGTGGTCCAGACTCCATCCTCCACCAGCTCTTCATCGTTCGCTTCCTGGGCTCCATGGAGGTGAGGACCGCCGAGTCAGTGGACGTCATCTCTGAGACCATGAGGCAGATCTTGGCCGCCAGAGCCATCCACAACATCTTCAGGATGACCGAGTCGCACCTGCTCGTCACCTGCGACTGCCTCAAGTATGAGCTTTGTTGTATTTTGATAAAATAGTCAGTGTGACCCTCAGCCTGTCAGCGGTTTAGATGTTGTGGCCGATGGGTGTTTGCAGTGTTGAAAGTTACAGAACATGTTTTGCTTTTTAGGCTCATTGATCCTCAGACACAAGTCACGCGGCTCAGGGTAAGGAGGTTTCTCTCATCACATCTGTTTCTAAGGGTTTCCGTTTCAGTCTGTTCTCACTGGCTTCCTCCTCCGTCCCGCTGCAGTTTCCTCTCTCCAGTGTGGTTCAGTGCTCGTCCCATCAGGACAACAAGAGGCTGTTTGGGTTCGTCCTGCATTCGGCGGGTGGGCGGGGCGACAGCCGAGCCGTCTGCTACATCTTCGAGTCCAACAACGATGGAGAGAAGGTTGTGTGTCTATTCGTGTGTTTCTGTAACTGTCTGACACTCTGTTGTGTCTGTCTGACCTGTCTGTCTGCTTCACCTGTTTCAGATCTGCGACAGCATCGGTCTGGCCAAGCAGATAGCCTTCCACTCAGAGCTGGTGAGGCCGAGTCGCTGCTTTTTACTGTGACACTGCGGTCAATGTTAAGTCACTCACACTTCAGCAGTGATTGTGGCTCATTCAGGTGATGCTGTGGATGTTTGTTTTTGTTGTGCAGGACCGTCAAGCGGTGGAGAAGAAGAAGGAGCAGGACAAGGCCAAAGAGAAGCAGCAGGAGGAGCTCAGCAAGCAAAGACAGATAGAGAAGGTGACACTAAACCTTTAAAGCAAACCTCACCCCTGCTGTAATCTGTTGATTAATTTATTAATTATTCAGTCAAAAAAATGCACATGAAAAATCACAGTTTCCTAAAACCCCATATGGCGTCCTGAGATGACTTGTTTTGTTTTATTACATTGGACAAAAAAATAAAAATGTAGAGCTTTATGTAATGTTTCTGTTAAATATTATTTTGCACAATTTGTTTAACCAGTTGAACCTCAAAACCTACTGTTTTGAAAGTCACGTTATCAATTTTTTTTAAAATGCGGAAATTCTACCTTTATCAGAGACAGAAACTGTAAAAACTGAAAAAATAGTTTTTCAATTTTCAACTTTCTAAGGATTTGTGATTTTTTTTTTTGGTATCGTCAGGAAAATGAACCAAATCTAAGCCTATGATTGTGATATTTCATCAGAGTCACTTTATTCTGCAATTTATTAAAAAGAAATTGCCAAAATAAATAAACATTTCTACAAACCAATTTGTGTAAAAAGCAAAGTAGTACAAACTTTGTATAAAGTAGTATATGAGTGACTCAGCTGCAAGCAGGACAAGATTGTGGGACTTTCTGGTTGAGCTGCAGGCAGCGTTCACACAGAGCAGAGAAGAGACCGGTCTGAAAGCAAAACTATAAGTACTAAAAAAATATCTATAGCAAGGGTCTCCAATCCTGGTCCTCGAGGGCCACAGTCCTGCATGTTCTAGATGTTGCCCTCTTCTAACACACCTGATTCAAATGATCAGGATCATTATCAGGCTTCTGCCGAGCTTGATGATGAGATGATCGTTTGAATCAGGTGTGTTGGAAGAGGAACACATCTAAAACATGCAGGACTGTGGCCCTTGAGGACCAGGATTGGACACCCCTGCTCTATAGTGGGCTGAGCCACTCTTCTTTTTTTTCCATTATTGGTAACATCTGTGGAAAAATGTTGTAGGTATTGTTGTCAGTTTATTTCAACTTCTGTTTTTTTCTTTGTTATGACTTATAGCATTACATCTTTGTCAAACTGCACAAAAGACCTTTTTGGGTTTTCTCTCCTTCTAGTCCTGGTTGTTCTGTTTCATAGAGGTGCAGGACTTTATATGAAAAAGTAAAAAATGAGCCCACAGTGAGGAATAATGTGACAGGAGAACAACCTGCTTGGGGTTCAGAGGGTTACATTTACAGGTTAAATTGTGCAGTTAACTTTTTCAGGTGAGCAAATGGTCATTAAATCAAATTTAGTGACAACAAGGCAGATTCACATTGTTTTTGAGAGGCAGGTTAATGTGGAGCTAAAGTCGATCTGCACAAAAAAGTTTAATCAGAACTAAAGCTCTACTAAAGTCCACTCACCGGTCATCAGGTCTTGTTGGTCAAAACGCAGCATCCTTCATCGGAGCTGTTTTTCCATTCTAGAGCAGGACTCTTGACATGGAACCTGAGTGTTTTCTTGTTCCTCTGCCAGGACCTGGAGGAGCAGAGTCGCCTGATCGCTGCCTCAAGTCGCCCTGCCAACCCGCCCGCCGCTGACGGACAGTTCCTAGTCCTTAGCAACAGCCAATCAGAGGACAGCGACGCTGGGGAGGAGGGGAAGAAGCGGGGTGAGTCTGAAGCCTAACGACACTCAGAGGATGCATGTTTTGCCTCCCAGGCGAGTCCCTGCTGGAAGCGTTGAGACGACAGCTCAGGGATCAGAGGAGGGGGAACACCACCCACCCGCCCGGGCTGCCTGGGGCCGATAAACATGTGCTTCCTCTCTGCTGGACTCTGTTTGAAGCTCACGGTGGAGGCTCTGAGAACGGAGAATAAACCTAACGCACCCTCACTACAAGAGGAGGAGGCGAGGAAACGTCTCATCACGGACTTTTATTCTGTGTGTAAAAACGCTGCTTTTATACCGACCGCCTCCACTATCAAGAAAAGACAAAAAAAACATATAGATTAACCTGTAAGTCTCCTTTTTTATGTTTATTTTATAAAAAGAGCTAACAATGACAGTGGAGGACGTAAAGCAGAGAAGTATGTGAGGAATAATGAACCAGCACCTGAAGAGGACACGGGAGACAACACACCGATTTGGACGGTTGGAGCGTCGGTTCTCAGCTGATTCCTCTGTCAGTGTTGTTGGTAAAAAAAAATGTGTCAAATGATAAAAAAGGCGTGTGAGTAGCAAGGAGACTTACTTTGAAGAGGCCGTATTCTAACTAACATTACGTGGCTGATTTGTACCTGCACCTGAAAGGCACATTGGGAATTTTTTTTCCGAATTACTTCTGCGTTCCCTAAAAACACTTCTGCATTTCCTCTGACCTTTGTCTGCATATAAAGATAATATATGGAGTAACTCCCTCCTCTCATATGTTTCCTGATGTGATATTTTGAGGCTCCGGCCATCACCATCTTTGCAACTTCTCCTAACTCCAACAAGGAGCACAGAGGCGGCATCCACCTGTTGCTCAAAGCTGCCACGTTCATAATTATGCATAACTTCAAGCCTTAATATAATTTAAACTGGTGACATATATAAAAAGAATCACCTCCTGTACAGTTGTCATCAACAGGGAAATTAACTACAGAGACCAAAACATTTCAGGTTTTTGTACCAGGCTGTAAACATGTTGATTTCTGCTGTAAAGTTTTCCACGGGGGTCTATGAGGACTGACTCACTTTTGGAGGCAGCCTCAAGTAGTCATTTGAGGAGCTGCAGTTTATTGCACTTTCAAGTTGACGTTGTATTTTTTAGCCCTGGAGGTTGCTGCTTGACTCTGTCATAAAAACACACAGACGGATCCACAGCACGAAAGGAAAAAACAGCCACAGCTCTAACATCAAAGCCAGCAGCTGGATACAGTCAGAGATCAGCCTTTTAAAATGAATAATGAGCAATAAATGCATCAAGTGTCTCATCATCTCGTTTTTCTGTAGCATCTGCAGGGTGTTTCTCTAAACCGGCAGGTTTTTAAAACTGGACCATCACATCAGCTGTCCGTGTGGGTCAGAGGGGATGCAAAGCAGATCACAAGGGAACGCAGAAATGATCCAGAAATGGATGGTGAGGGTTCGTACCACATGGGCACATTATGAACTTAGCAGTAGCTCATTGGCTCAGATCCCAGCTCGGGAAGATTTGTGCTTCATAAACAATTTGCACAAAAATTTCACAAAATTGAACCTTTATCCAGAAAAAAAATTCCCACAACAACCTTTCAGAGGCTTTGAATTCTTCAAATCAACAGAAGCCAATTTTAAAATCTAGTAAATGTCCCAAAACCTTCGAAAACGCCAATCAAACAATTTTACACTGCAGGAACTTAAACCTTTGTGTGTGTTCTGACTACGAGAACCAACCTGGGGGTTGCAGGGCTGTTTTTGGGGGAGAAGATCGTGCCTACTCCAGGGTGGGTGTTTCTGAGCGGCCTTGAAACGCTGCTGTGTGAATCTCGGTCAGAGTTGGTGAAGACGAGCGGTTTCTCTTCTCCAGCATCACCATCAACAGCATAAAGTTCACCGTAAAGGCTAACACAACGGACCTCTGTTGTTCTGTTGCCCATGCAGCTGTCCAGTCACTTCAATTAGTCACTGTCGTGGCGCACTCAGAGTTGAAGCTGTTGGATCAGAAAGGTGGAGCTCCTGCAGTGGAAAGCCATTTAAAATGTCACATAGATGCTAAAAGGAAAATACGCACAAAGTGAATATGATAGTTTCAGATGAGGGAGGAGCTCAACATTAAAGCCACTGAAGGTGAAATGTTAAAGAAAAGCTGCATGTAAAGTGGTTAAAACACTGTTGAGAAAATGTTTTTGCCTATTTTTTACCCCACTGACTTATTGGCCCCGAGATCATCACGCTGTGTCCAACGGTAGCGGCTGCAGAAACTCTAAAGGCAGGACGACGAAACGACTGAGGAAAGAATCCAAGGAACTGCTCGCTGTCGACCACCTGAACTCACAGCTCGCTCGTCGGTGGAGGATTTTAGCGATAAAGTAAAGCGGGTTGACAGTTTAAAGGATGTTTTTCTCAGTTTGTGATCTGATGCCCCTCTGTGGTGGTTGTTGCCGCTGAGAGCTGCTGACCACTGAACCAATAACTGTTGTCATGAATGAAAACCGTTGAGGTCAAATCCTGCTCCTCGTGGTTCAAAGTTGAGCTCTGCGGTGAATATGTAACGCCTCCATCAGCTTCCAGGTGCCAATATTAAAGGAAAGGGGTTTTTTTTATGTCCGTCACACAACCAGATGTAGCCAGCTGTGATCAGTCAAATCAAGTGAGTTTATTCATCGTTGGAGTTTTTCTCCTGCAGAATCCCTCTTATACATTCACTTAACAACAATATAAATGCACCAAGTAATGTTTTATGAAATTCTATCAATTCTTTTTAACACAGGAGAATCAGTATTTGTTGTTTTTACGCTTGGCGTCTGTGCAGCAGAACAGATGCAGTCGTAGACCAGAAATCCCAAGTCGGCAACGAGTCACGCAGACGTTGGTGCTGCCTGTGGAAAGTCGTCTCACTCTTCCTCAGTGAAGTTGGGGGACATTTTCTGAGACAGAATCACGTTGTCAGACATCCAGAGCATCATGTGGCAGATGATCTGTCTTTACCAGGATGTCTAGAATGAGTTGTGGACGCTCACGTGCATGACGGCGACGCTGAGTGACCTCCAGCATCCAGCAGCCTGTTCTGTCTATTGTCACCTGTGGCATCACGTCATTTGAATTAAGCTGCATTTTATAGAACTAAAGCTGGAGACCTGATCGTTGTCCTTTAAATCAACACCCGATCAGGCTGTGAATTAATTCGATGATGGAGAATTTGTCACCAGATGAACAGCTCAAAAACTTTTTGTGCACAATTGGCTGCTTTTATCGAAGTCAGAAAAGACCATGTTGCATTTATATTTTTCTGCTGCTGAAGAAGGCTGTGTACGCGGACCAGGCCCCCCTCGACTGCCACCCTGTCCTCTCAGCACCTGACCCCATGACTCCCTCTGCGGGTGGTGAGTCCACAGGAGGGCGGGCCCATGCCATCCTTTCGGGCTGAGCCTGGCCGGGCCCTGTGGGCAAAGGCCTGACCACCAGGCGCTCGCATATGAGCCCCAACCCCAGGCCTGGCTCCAGGGTGGGGCCCCTGGGACCTGATTTACCGGTCAATCTACGTTCCTTCTCTCACCTATGGTCATGAGATCTGGGTAATGACCGAAAGAACAAGATCGCAGATACAAGCAGCCGAAATGAGTTTCCTCCGCAGGGTGGCTGGGTGCTCCCTTAGAGATAGGGTGAGGAGCTCGGTCACGTGGGGGGAGCTCGGAGTAGAGCTGCTGCTCCTCCACGTCGAGAGGAGTCAGCTGAGGTGGCTCGGGCATCTTTTTCGGATGCCTCCTGGACGCCTCCCTGGGGAGGGGTTCCGGGCGCGTCCCACCGGGAGGAGGCCTCGGGGAAGACCCAGGACATGATTATGTCTCTCGACTGGCCTGGGAACGCCTAGGGGTCCCCCCGGAAGAGCTGGAGGAGGTGTGTGCAGATCGGGAAGTCTGGGCAGCTTTGCTAAGGCTGCTGCCTCCGCGACCCGACTCTGGATAAAGCGGAACAAAATGGATGGATGGGTGGATGGATTCTGCTGAAGAATAAACCATAAAATGAGAGAGAAAAATTCCTCTTGGATGGAAAGTTTCCACCATATTGTTGCGTCATCCTCTAAACTAATCAGCTGTTAGATCAGGTGAGGGCCACGTGTTACCCATCATGCCCTGACAGCAACCGCAGTTAACTGTGATGTCTGCGATCGATTCTCATCTTGAACAAGCTTTTAATCTGTATTTACTTTTCAAAGTGCTTCACAAGGCAACAAACTAAAAGGACTAAAATATACTTTAATTTTGAAAATGTCCACCTGAGTCTCAAACTGCAGAAGCCTCAGATTTGCTTCAGATACACTTTGGAGTCCAACACTAGAAGCACACCACTATGGACAGAAGAAATGGTGGCAGCCACAGAAACAGTTTCAGTGTACAGTTGAAGACGGACTTGAAAACCCCCGAAATCGCCCGTTTCACGCCTTTGTAACACCTACTATTATTATTTAATAAGGAAAACATATCACGCCATCCTGACTCCAGCAGCCCAGCTGGATTAGAGGCCGGAGCCAGAGGGCTCCAGAAAAAGTAAATCAGACTTTAAACTTTATATTATAGAATAAATACCTGCATGAAGTGAGGATCTTGCACCGTTTTAGATCTCCTCTCTGGTCTGTGAACAAAAGCACAACATTTTTCGACAGTCTCCTCACGTTTGCTGATTTTGCTTTTCTGATAACCCTGAAAACTGAGGAAAAATCTTTTTTTAAACCAATAAAACAAACTCCATCCTCTTCCGAGATGCTGCGTTTCTCCTGATGTCCCAGTATTTATCAGGCATGTGTGTATTGGTCACTTTTTTTGGAGGCCTTCTATGTTTTTTGTTGATTAGCCTTTTTCCAGAGTGATTCATGGTGATAATCTGTAGAAGAACAACTGAATAAGCTTCATTTTCTAGATCAGCGACATGTGGGGACGTAAGAGGTCATGGCCTCCGGGGGCCAAAGTCAACGGTTACTGATGATGGTTTTATTTTTTCGTCTTTTCTGGGAGGATGTTTTCTTGCTGCAACCGGGTGAAGAACTCACGCTGACGGAGCTGCACTTTACTGAGGCAGGAAATTATGATGTTGCGCTGTAAATATGTTTAGGTGATTGATGTTCCAGTGTCATGATTAATAAAAGGCTTTTCAGTGATAAATAAAAGCACTAACTCCACCCGCCCGAGTCAGCCTGCTGATGTTGTTAGATAAAACAAACGTCCACCAGCTGCATGCGATTGAGGGGTAAAAAATGATTTAAAGAAAAAAAAAAAATCTTTCAATAATTTTTTTAATTAAAAAAAAAAAACATAGTATGATAAATATTTTTGGTACAAAAAAATAAATATACAAAATATATAAAGTTAAATAAAAAATGTTTACATTATATAAAATACAGTTTTTTTAAATGTATAACTTTGTCAACTGTAAACTTTTCATACTTCATCTGTTTGTTTTTTTTCTTTTTGCCATATTACATCTTTTTCAAACTCTCTTTCCATCTTCTTTGTTATGTTTGTTTGTTTGTTTTTTTATTTAAATTGTATTTTATTTTATATCTTCTAAAATTATTTTAGCTGTAGAGAAAACCTCTTTGCGGTTTGAAGCTGCCGTGAATATAATGAAATAAAAAGTCAATCAGTCTGAAAATAAAATAAAACAAACACAAGAACTGGCCATCACAACTTTATTGTTTAATAAATATAATCAAGGAGTTACAGAAATACCAAAAGTTATTGGCGTAGATTTCAGGGGGGCAACGCAGGAGACACCTCTCCCTTCATATTTACATGTGCACAAAGCAGAGGACTTGATTAAAAAATGTGCAGAGAAGGCATAAACTGGTGCATAAAGATTCACAAACATGGAAGAAATGTGGTGTTTGATGCTCAAAATGTCCTGGAGAAGAATATCCAGACTCCCCATCAAACAAAACCTCCACCAGGCCGCAACATTTTCAGTATAAAAGTTTGCTTTATACAATAAACACCTGCTAAATAGTGTGTTTCTCTTGGTTACAGAGAAATATGAGTGTTAAAACATTTTCTAAAGGACATGTAACATCTGCAGTGCAAATTCCCAAACAGAAGAAAAGACGAACAGAATCAGTGCAGTTTTTCAAGTGTTTCCCCACTTCCTCGTCTAAAACAAATCCTTCAAACCTCCTTTGGCCACCAAATCAAAAATTATTGTTGGCACCAAAAATATTAATGCTGTTTGGAACATCTCCAAAAGCCACAACACGCCAAAAAAAAAGAAAAAGTACAAACACAGTCCCGCTGCCTGTGAAAACTGTTCACTCATCTTGTTCCAACTGGTTTATGTTCTGGAGGAAATTAGTGTTGTCCATCTTAGTTTGACTTATCGTGCTTATTTATGTCAGGAGTCATACAAGAACACTTTTCTCAAAGGAGGAGATGCTGGTATCCGACCTTCTCTAACCACTAAACAACCGACGGCTACTGTTAGAACCAAGCCAGTGTAGAACAGCAGGTTCAGACACCAGGAACATCTTTAAGTCAAAACAAAGTGCAGGGATTTTCTTCTTTTCAGCTTCCTGTTTTTTTTATTTTTCTTGTGAACTTCTGGATACTTTCACTTCCTCAGGCCTCTAAAATAATTCACAGAAATGACTCAGATGGAAAAAAATCACTCTTTGGTTCAACTTGTGTCCACATTAAAGCCGAGACTTGCGAGACATAGTGACAGCTCCCTCCTACAACCTCAAATCTCTGACGACTGGTGTCTTTGATTGTTGTAATTATTGGAGGTATAAATGAGTCCATCTTTGTTCAAACATCTGCAGAGATATTAGCTCCAAAGTCCAAAGCTCTGGTTTCATCACACACGCTCTACCACATATGTGAGGAAAACCAAAAAAACCTCAACTTTACACCTTTTCTTTTGGCACGTGGCACAAACTGAGCAAAACGATGGACAAGAATAAATGTGAAGCGTCTTTGTGATGAGGCGGATTTAACGGCTCAAGTCTACAAGTGATCCTTTGTCCTGAATTTTGCGGCTCGGGTCAGATCACAGACGATCCAGCAGGAAACCAAGTAAGAAGAACAGCGCAGCATCACGTCACTTTTTACTGTTTGAGGATCTGGTTGGAGAGCCAGTCCAGACCTTCGACCAGACCGGAACCGCTGACAGCACAGGACGACTGAACAAACCACTGCAAAGATACAGAGGACAAAGTCATGAGCAAACAAGAAATGAAATGAAATCACCACAACAGCAATATTTGACAGACTATTAAAAAAAAAAAAAAAAAAAAAAAAACTGGATGTAGGCATTGTGACATCACCCCCTGGTTTGCTGGCAACTGTTTTATAGTCTCAAGTTTGTCATTTGGCCGCAACCGTCTTGGTCTTTTGAAAGCAGACATGATGAATGACGCGTGGCTCTGACTAAACTCAAGGACACTTAACACCCTGTTTTATTACACTGGGTTACAACAAAATGTTTTTTTGAAGTTGTCTAGGATTTTTTAACTGATTTAGGACATTTTTGCAACGCTGAATCCAAAAATGACATCTGCTTTTCTGTATCAGGCCACCTCGATTTAAAAAAAAGTCGATTTTACCACTAAATCAATCACATTTTTTGATATTAGCGATTGATTTATTTTAGTATTTCTCAAATGAAATGAAAAAATCTGATTTTAGTGGAAAAATGTCATTTTCTAATCCTTTTCATTAGCTAAATGATCCAAAAGTTGAGGAGCGTAAACATTTGTAAAGGTAAATATAAGTAAATTGCATGTGGCCACAAATCAAAATTTTGACCTCATTGAGCAAAACCAATGTAATATTTGCATTCAGCACATTGCAACTGTCCAAAATCAGCTCAAAAACCTTTGACACCAAAATGGGTGTAGCCCAGTGTAATCTATCTTTTACTCTAAATCAAACCATAATTCACAAAATGAACATAATGCTACAGCACGATTAAAGGAGGCTTGAAACCACCGAGTAAAACTATAAATGTATTAAAAAATGTTCACTGAGGCACCAGATCAAGGCAGAAATAGGGTTGTTTTCTCAGATTTCAGAGGAGCTGACCCCTGCTGGCTGTTAGAAACAATGCAGGTTTAAGGCGTTACACTTTTCAGACCCAGACGCTACGTCCATCTTTGATATAAAAAGTCTGTAATCTTCACTATAAAATGGGACGTTTTGCATTGTGTGGTGGTGGCGTAAACTGGAAACACCTACCGGCTGCGAGACTCTTGATAGGCCCATGGCCTCGGTGATGTCACTGGCTGACATGGCTCTGGGCAAATCCTGTTTGTTGGCAAAAACCAATACAGCCACACCCCTCAGCTCATCCTCCTCCAGCTGTAAGAGAAAAGGCAAAGTGGCATTATTACAAGTTTGATGATGGTGTATTTTAAGCTCAGATATTAACCAATCAGTGGCGTCTTCCTCTGATGTAAATCTATAACTATATGGCTCATTTAATCTCAAATCACCAAACCTTTAGAACAATTCCTGCACTGCCATCTCTGATTTGACCGAGATATTAATAGAATAAAATATAGATGTGTATAAAGAAGTTTGGAAAGTTTTAGAGTGATATATCAAATACTTTATGAGATAAACGTTTTTATTTAAACTGCCCGTCGACCCACTTTCAGTACGTTTGATTGAAATTTGAAGCTGTTCAGATCTCAATATCTCAGGAACTATTAAAGATGAAAGTCTGAAATTTTTGTTCTTATTTGTCAGCTTGCCATCGACAGGGTCTGAAAATGGAAAATGTGCCCGTATTGAAAAATAGATTTCTGAGTCATATTTTGAGAACCATTTTGAAACTTCAGAACTCACCCATAATCAGACACTAATGGATCGATTTGATGCTTGTCCAGTACAACATTTCAGGCGTTTATCGTTAATAGTTCCTGAGTGATTGTTGTTCAAACAGCCTCAAATTTACATTTGCAATAAAAACATGCTGAAATGGGGTCAGCAGGCTTTTTTTTTTTTTTTTAAACCTATCTCAAAAAGTATTTCATATATCAGACTATAATTTCACAGATGTCTTTATAAATATCCATGTTTCTTAGGGTTAGGGTCAGAGATGGTCGAGCAGAAGGACTCTGGTGATTTGAGATCAAATCATCCAAACGACAGCACCAGTCAAAGGCTTTGACACACCTGCTCATTCAGGGGTTTTTATTTATTTTTACTGTTTTCTGCAGTGTTCAACTAAAGTGGAGATATTAGAACTATTAATCAACAAATGGACTGGTCTTTGTGACACACTGAGAAAGCAACATGTTGATTCCATTTTTTTTTTCAATGTTTGATTTGGCTTGCCGGTTCAAGTCCCGGTGGGGGCACCGGAATCTTTCTGCGTGGAGTTTGCATGTTCTCCCCGTGCAGCGTGGGTTCTCTCCGGGTTCTCCGGCTTCCTCCCACAAGTCCAAAAACATGTTGAGGTTAATTGGTGATTCTAAATTGTCTGTAGGTGTGAATGTGAGTGTGCTTGGTTGTCTGTCTCTAAGTGTGGCCCTGCGATGGACTGGCGACCTGTCCAGGGTGTCCCCTGCCTTCGCCCTAAGTCGGCTGGGATAGGCTCCAGCCCCCCCCGCGACCCTAATGAGGATTAAGCGTTGTATAGAAAATGGATAGAAATGGATGTTTGATTTGGCCTCCAAAAAAAGTGACCAACAGACAAAAGACATTTTTAAATTCTCTCTACTTCTAGCCGTGGTTGTGCTGTTTCCATAGAAGCAGCTTTTATACTGCAGTGAAAAGTGAGCCCACAGTGAGTAAAAAAAAACTAAACTAAAACTACTAGAACTTCAGAGGACAAACAGTTTTGATGTCCTGGCTGGAGAAAGCAGTAAAATTAAAGAAAACGTGTGCTGACAGGTGCTGTGTACATGAACTGGTTAATGAAGGAGTCAAGCGTCCTCACCATCATGTGCAGCTCGTCCGCAGCCTCTTTGATCCTCTCAGGGTCGTTGCTGTCGACCACGAATATCAAACCCTAAAGACGAACACAGACAGACAGCATTACAAACATCCTCAAGTCAGCTGCTTACGCACTCCACAGCTGTAGGAGGAGCAGTGGTTTCTACCTGCGTGTTCACGTAGTAATGTCTCCACAGCGGCCTGATGATGGTCTGACCACCAACATCCCAAACTGTGAAGCTGATGTTCTTGTAGTCCACAGTCTCCACGTTGAAGCCTGCACACACACACACACATACACGCATATTTAATTTAGGTTTTTACATAATTTATGTTTGATTTGGGACAAACAGATGAAAGTTAAAAACACAGACCGATTGTGGGGATGGTGGTGACGACCTCGGCCAGCTTCAGTCTGTACAGCAGCGTGGTTTTACCGGCTGCATCCAGACCCACTGCAGCAACACACACACCAAGTTTCAGCATCAGTTCATCGTATAAGCATTAAAGCTACTGAACGGGCAATTTACTTCAGTAAAAGTAGAAAAACTGCAGTAAAAAAATAAAGTAAAATTCACACATTGCAAATGGAAACACTCCTTAGTGTCTAGGATGGTCGTTCATTCTTCCACTGGCCTACATTTCAGAGAGAAATGTTGTATTTTCTATCCCACTACAGCTATCTGGCAGCTTTTAGAGCATTTTACACAATAAACAGTACAACAAATATGTAAAACACAACACCGATTGAAACTTTTTGGCTTCTTACAGACAGCAGCATGTAGTCGGCTCACATTGTTAACAGCTCCGACAAACTGTGATTTTTCTTTCTGAATCTCTCACAGGATTTAATTTGAAATAAATGTGTGAATGATCCAATACGTCAGCAAACAAATAAAGGATGAGAGTGACTGAAAACAGATATGTGTCAGAACTTAAACTGGGAATAAAGTAGTTCAGATCAGCAGCAGCTACAACAGTAACCTGCTGCTGATTCACTGATGCTAATGATATAATGGTGTCACATATAACATTACAGCAGTCACGCGGACTCTTACTTGATTCATTTAACTACATTTTTGCTGCGATGTACTTTTACTTTAGTGGGATTTTTCATATAGACTTTAACTTGGAGTATTTTTACTTTGCCGTATTGGCATTTTTACATCAGTGAAGGAACTTCTTTGACCACTGGAAGAAGATGAAGGACCACTGATTTTTAGAAAAATAATGTGATAGTTCATATTGCACCAGCTGTAATTTTCTTTTCAGTTCCAACCGATATGCAGAATAACTGGTGGAGTTCTTACAGGATTCAACAAACAGTGTGTTACCAGTAGAGGGGCGTCACTACTTTAGGAATTTAACTCATATGCAAACTGATTTTTTCTGTCATAAAAGAAATAACATAAAAGCATCCTTTATGGACATTTAGGAGTACAGTGATAGATATTTCAGTTGAAGAGTTTGGACAAGATGCACGTCATAAGTTTTCCTTTTTGCCTTTAGCTATCGTTCCTTGTCTTCAGTTGTGTTTTTACCGTATATGATAAACAGAACTAGTGGTGAACACTGTGCTCTGTAGGATCTGGAGTTCCACCAGTGGTTAAAAAACGCTTCTACATTGTAGTAGGTGACAACAGTGAGTTTCTCACATGTATAATGTTTTTTTTGGTTTTTTTTTTTTTTTAAATTATTACTATTTGACAAAAGACTAACATGATGGAGGTAAGTTATTTAAAATGGTGATGAGCATTTATAAATGGATTATTAGAGCCAAACTATGAAGGTAAGAGAACTTTGGATTTTACATAAAGAAAAATAACTACATGTTTGTAAAATGACAGACTAAACTACTACTGATACTGCTGGTTAGTGCTTAAAATACCACATAGCAGATGGAAAAAGTGGAGTCACAGGAATACTGACATTAAATTCTAAACAATTTACATACTAAATGAATATATAATGAAAGAGCTTAAAGCTACCAACAACAACAACAACAACAATAATAATAATAATAATCATCATCATAATAACAGGTGCTGCTATAATGACGGATAATGAAACTCACCCATGAGGATCCTGACGGGGGTCCTGGAGGTGAATCTGTTGAATATCTGTGAGATGAATCCGCCCATCGTTCAGCTGCTCGGTTCTCCGGTTCGGTGTGTCTCTGGTTCGGTGTGTCTCCGGTTCGGTGTGTGTCGGTGGTTTTATAGCGCAGCAGCAGCAGCAGTTGTGTTGTTGTTGTTGTGTGTGTGTCTTCCATGCTGTCACCCAGGCCGCTGTCAGCTCGGTACACGGTGGAAGCTGCCACAACACCGGAACACACCTTCAAACCCGGAACGACACTTACGGTTCGAGAGCCGAGGGTCCATCAGGCGGGGAGAGGCTGGACGTTTCCGTAGAGCTGCACTACGAAGCAAGTTGGACATAACCGCGATTTCTTTGTGTAAGACAAAAAAAGAAATCCGCAAATAGGGACAACGACCGCAGACGCCGGTAACGACTTCCTGCTTCAGCCTCTGCGCGCGCTCACGCAACAAGAGGCGCGTCATGTGACTCACGCGCACAAAATGAAACGATCGCGTGCGGCTGCTTCAGTCAACACGTTGTTTTAATGGAGAACAATGAGGAATATTTAAAATATGTATATGATAGTTGAAAGTGCCGCTACTGCAAATGGTGCAAGACAGAAAGGCTGGCAGATTTTTTTTTAACTATATTTATTTTACTGATCAATGCAGCCGCTCATTTCCACCTGACAGCTGCACATTAAAGCTGTTAAACTTCATATAATCAAACATGACATTGTACTGAAGTGCATTTAGGGCTGATACTGTCCTATAATATAGGATATTGCTTTCATTTTTGGCCAAATCAAAGTGAAATTTATGCTATTGATTGAATATTCTCTGTAACAACTACCAGTAGAATAATCCATGTTCTAATCTGTGTTCTGTCATACGGAAGAGGATTAGGGCCACTGAAGAAAAAAATAATAAACTTCTGAGAAAAAAGTCAGAATTCTGACTTTTTTCCAGGACATTAAAAAAAAATTCTGGGAGATTATTTTTTTTAAATCTCTGAAAAAAGTCACAAATTCTGACTTTAATCTCAGAATTCTGACTTTTTTTCTCAGAATCTTTTATTATTTTTTTCTTCAGTGGCCCTAATCCTCTTCCGTACTATCAGCTGCAGTACCAGCAGAGTAAGCGGAGGTCATCAAATGAAACCCCGTCTGTCTGGGACCACTAACATCCTGTTTCAGTAATCCAGATGCCTGTTTGGAGATGTCTGTGCAGCAGGCATGCAGGACAACATTGTGGGCGAGTGGATGTTTAGCCAGGATGCTGAGAATTTTACCCATGATGTCCAACCGCCTTTGTGTCTGGAAAGCAGAAGGTCGCACCTTTTTCCTCACATTCCTCACAATCAAATTTGGAGCGAGGGGGCTCAAGGTGCTCCAATTCGTTATGTCAGTGTTCGAAATTCGCCATCAACACAGATAATCGATTCTGGTCCAAGTCGAACCAACGCTCGGCCAATTGAGTTACGCTCCTCTGGTCATGTGATGCCGGCGGACAGAAACACAGGAAGTCGGGCAGCCATTTTTGTTTTTAATAAGCTTTACTGATGTCTTTGAATGTAGAAAAAACATGGCACGTAGACATTTTCAAAGTGTTGAGGTGGCTCTAAACAGAAAAACACCAACATAAAGGAATAACAAACAGAATAACAAAAATAACGAAATAAGATGGGAATCTCAACATGAATACATCCATCAAGGAAAAAATTCTTTGGGCATTTTTGTTTTTCAGGTCATGAAGAGATTTTGTTAATGTTCTGAGTTCATTCTTCCATCCATCAAAGTGGGGTTTAGTCTTTGTATATTTACATCTATGAATGAAATGTTTGGCCAGCAGAATCAGATTGTTTAAAAGTTTTTCTCCTCCAACAATACACCAGTTTTAATTCAGGACAAGAGGGTGCATTGAGATGTTTTTTTGAATGAAGCCAACTTTGAAAATTCATATACATACTCACAATGGAAAAATAAATGTTCAGTTGTCTCAATTTCTCTTTCAAAGAATCCACACGAGTTATGATTGAAGTTAAATTTTTTTAAGTAAGAAGTTGTTTGATGGGTAAATGTCATGTAGGATTTTAAATGACACATCTGTAGTTTTAGGTAAAACTGGATACGACCGATATCTTTTTCGTGTTTTCCTGGATGTTGCTGCGTCATAGTCTCTTAGAATGGACTTTCTTTTTAACTGGAAAGGGTAATAGTGAGCTGTTAAGCTATTTTGAATGAATTTGTTGTTGAACAGTAAACTGTTTAAGTGGATACCATTAATACAAAGTGGCCTCGGCTCTATTGTAATACCAGAATGCCAGGCGGCCATAGCAGCCACCGCTGACAGTGGCGCTTCGGTGAGAGTTTCAACTCTTTATTTGCCTTCTGTGTCGCTGGTTTGTGACACGTCTCATACTTGTCATCACTTTAGTACTTTTCATTTCCTTATTTGTGTTGGTTGAGTTTATCTGATCAGAAAAGTGAAGTGAAATCCACACTTCCACAGTTCATCTATAAGATTATTAGATTGATCATCAGCCTGACAAGGAGAAAGCACTTTTTTCACTTGTTCCTCTGTTAGGTGGGATCATTTAGTTTCACTTGTCTGTTGTCTTTGCATCTACAGCTGAATTATATTGGCCATTTTGTGTACATTTTAAAACCTTTCAAGTTTCAGGATATTATAGTTTGAAACACACTTGTTGAATTATTATTAAAGTTTTTTTCATGTCTTAGAGAAGATTCTGATAAAATCCAAGCCAACTACCAACGTTGAAGGTCCATCATGTAAAACAGTTGGTCTAATAATTATTTCCAAAGCTGTACGTTGGAGATGTTTTATTTATTTTAATTTCTCTTTCTTCACGTGGAGGACACATAACTGAATGTGGCCTTTAGATCATTTTAGTTCCTGAATAAAAAGAAGAAGTTTGGATGAGTTCTAGTTTAGAAAACTTTCTTAGTGAAGTTCAACAGTTAAAAGGAAATTAATCAGCATCCCACAAAATGTCTTTTTTTCCCTCCCATTTCTGTTCTTTTGTCACCATTTCTGATATTCAGTCTTCCTTCACGGTCTCCACACTCTAAAAGGTAATACCGATGCTTACTTGAATCACATTTGTGTACTTTACTTATTTCTCATTGTCCTGTTCGTTTCACTCATGGACTGTGAGTATGTCCTCATTTTTCCTTAAAGAGTTATAAAACTAAGCACACTTGAGTAAACTGGACTTGAAACGTTCTGTTCCTGGACTGAACACAGAGCTCAGCAGTGCACATGTGCAGTAGAGAAGTGCAGGAGAAGTTTCCAGAAACTTTACGGGGCGGCTGTGGTTCAGGTTTTCGTCGGGCAATGATTGGAAGGTCGGCAGTTTGATTCTGCCCCGTAACCTGTGTCATGGTCGTTGTGTTCTTGGGCCAGAAAGTTCACCCACCTTGCCTGGTGTGAATGCGTAGCTTACCACTCCTGGAATGAATGTATGCGAATGAATAATTGACAGTGTAAAGTGACTTTGAGCGTCTAGAAAAGCGCTATATAAATCGGATCAGTTATTATTATTATTGTTATTATTTAAGTTTCTAACACAACTTTACATGCACTGCACTCTAACACAAAGATCAAGTTCACTATACTTGCTATTTTTAAGTTCACAAAATTAAGTGAATACAGCTAAATTTTAGGTAAACTTTACAAGTAGATATGAAGTAAACAGAATTTAAGACTAATGGTTTCATTTACTTAGCTTTTTTGAGTGCAACTGGTTTCATTTAAGATCAACTTTTCACATTTTACAGTGCACAGACAGTTCTTAGGACTGTTCATTAGGACCTGAGCTCTGACTGACTCCAGACACATCACAGAAACACATCAGAAATCCCTCAGAACTACGGAACTGTAATATTTTAACACTGTGGAACAAACGCCCGACTGTCAAAACAGCTCAGTAGGAGCCCCACGGAGCTCTTTAAAACCACCTGCACAGACAAGCATTTATAAAAAAAATTTATTAGTAGGAATAATAATGATTGAATGAAAAATGAATAATATATAACTTTATTTGTATTAAAGGCTTTAAAAACAAGCAGTGAAATCTTTAAATAATTTCTAAAATTCACAGGGAGCCAGTGAAGGGCAGCAAGGGCTGGTGTCATGTGGTGGCTTCTCTTGGTACGTGTTAAAAGCTGGATTAGTTGCAGTCTTTGAATGTTTCGCTGACTGATACCGGAGTAAAGTGAATTGCAATAGTCAAGTTTGGAGGCGATGAAAGCATGAATGACAGCTTCAAACAGTGGAGGAGAAAGGAATGGTCAGATTTTTGTTCACTGTCTTAATTCAGCAAAGCAGGATTGTACTACCTTGGTCACATGTGCATCAAAAGATAGCTCTGAATCAAAAACGACACCAAGATTACAGACCTCTTCACAAATATTTTGGACAGACCACCAGACTAGAGAACAGATTTTTAACAGTGCTCGTGCTGGGGCAAGGGGGTGTAATGATGATATCTCTGATTTCGAGTCATTTT